AGAAGCCCTGTCTAGGATCCATAGGCCTGGAGTCTTGCGGTAAAAGACAGGAACTGCTATTTTCAAAATCAATCCAAGAGTTGGAGGGGAAACGACAGGCCCACAAGAGGTGAAGGTCGAAGACAAAAGTCACGAACAGCCGAGGCCTGCAAACATACACTACTAACTGGCCTCCAGAGCATGAAATAACCTCCTTGGGCACCTTCGGGTCCGCTGAACTGTTAATACAGACAACCAACCTCCCAAAAAAGGGTCACGACCCGTCACTACGACCTTCAGGTCAGTCCCACATATGAATAGGAGAATTTAGACGCTGGTAGAGTGTATAACATTCTGTACAAAAGGATTGGAGTATGAGTTGAAGGAAGTTAACAACCGGATGAGGGCACACGTCCAGGTCCGCGAAAACAAACGTCCCGAGTGAGAATGGGGCGGCCGCGCGTGTGTTTTGAGTTACGGTTGACTGGTTAGCTGTGATTGGCCCAGACCCAGACTGCGACGAAAAGTGTAATGTTGCAGCAGGTGCCCGTAGTAGGGCCTCATCAAATCCCAGCGGTTTTGAACATCAGGTCAAATCAAAAGATGGTAATTCTCTAGTTGATAACGCCGGAACAACGCACAGAAGGCTATCAGATGTGTCGTCCCCCAGGTCAAGGCAAGCCTCGTCGGTTTAATCTTTCTGTCTACAATGAGGTCATCTTGGACTTCAGCATACGCCTAGTGAGGTTGCTCAAGACGGCAACTGATGAGAGATTTATGCATTCCATGAATGGTCCATTTAACGGAGCGGTTGCATGCTTCAGTGGAGCATGCGCCGGTAAAATGAACTATCACATATCAACAAAGTACGGAAATTAGAATCTACAGCAATAGACAGGAATTACATGAATTTATTTTTCAAATATATGCAAGCCCATTGTGTAACTCGTCGATTAAATTACACCTTCTTGGGGTGAAGCCTACCTGGACTTTTTTGATTTGAGATTTGCATATACTAAACTATCCAGCAAATCCTAACTTTTGTCCCCTACAGTTGGAATCGATCAAAAAACTAGCCGATTCGGACGCCCACGGTAAGCCGTTGGTGCATAACAAGTCCGGTCTTGCCCACTCTTGAACCACAGCCTGCTGTGAAGGACTGACTTTAGAACTCCACGCTGCTATAATAGATTTTTCTTACACATGAGCAGGGATGCAGGCTTGCTTACTCTGACCAATGCACTTAAGTCCTGCTAATACTCAGACAACAGAAAATTAGTCTAAATGACCACATCAAGAATTGGGGCACTGGCTGAAACGGGTTAACGTTCACATGGAATCCCAGTGAATTCCTGATCTCAGACAGCAATGCTGCACCCGGCAACGCGTTCATTTTCCCGAAACTCCGACGGCGACCCACACATAGATTGGTTTAATGAGGGAAGCATAAACTGTGTCCATAACACACGCTCCATAGCAGCAGGCTAACGTGGGCGGTCATAAAAACTACTCAATCTGCATCCCATATTCATTTTCAACCACCTGTCAAGTCATTTACTTTCTTCGACTTCTCGCAATCCCTTTTCGGCAACTTACGTATTGCTGGAAGTTACTATTTGAGCCCTGAAAAGGGCACACAGAAAATACACTACACCAAAACGGAGGCCAGATCAGGGCGCGTCCATAACAGCTTGGACACACGAGGGGCGAGTGTGGTGGCAGAGCGGCAGCAGACTCACACTATACCAGCCAGCTGCACCCAACCCGTCTTCTTGACTTGGTCATGCCACCATGCAGGTGGGCGTGCGGTAGATGCTGTACAATTCTTCTATTATTATAAACTACTTAACGCGCAACTCACAGAGCCTGTGTCCGTTACACTGTGACACACACGAATGGCCTCGTCAAACTGTCATAGGAGGTAACTAAGCCACTAATAAAAATGACTTCAAGACTATCGCCCGATTGTACGTGGTTTAATAAGTATTACCCTTCACACCGTAAAATAATCTATACTAATCTCAGTGCAGCCTCATTGTAGAGAAGTAAGAGATACCGCTTATGGAAAAAGCCCACAAAGTAATAAGGAAAACTAACGAAGTTTTTAGAACGCACACTGGTAGGACGCGGGAATAGGGACCACTCGCAATGCAGGTGACCAGGGCCGTCTCTATCGTAAACTTAAGTGCAAGACCACCTGTAATACGGGTGTTACTTACTCCACTTTACAACGGACGCACTCTTCGAAATTTTAAATACCTAACCATTGCTTAGCTCATCTTATAGCTTAAGATGCAGTTTCTTCGAACACATTATAAGAAATGAAAGTGGTCAATCATGAAAGAAGTGACTAGTCACACACTGCAGACTGAAATCGGTGCATGGAACAGCCTGAAAATTGGGCGTAGTCGAGTTGCCCGGAGTAGCACCGCTCAGCGACAATTACGAGTGGGCTAATCGGGCGACCTAATAAGCAAGCATCAAGAACAATTAGTCACATGTCCTTTGCACAGGCGGGAGCAAAAGGACTACAGGAAAGAAAGTGGCTACGATGAGGTTAATTCCCAGCTATCGAGGCGATATGAAATTTCTCATTTGATAAGCAGGCAGTCGCGATGCATAACCTTACTTGAGAGACCACGTTTCCTATGCGGCAAGTTTGCAGATCCCTTAAAGGCACCTTCTCCGTCTGACAACGTAGAATTCGGCCAGCATTCTGCGAATAGAGGTAACTGTAAGTAGCCTCCCACCGGCTAAACTAAACAGATGCACGGGCGACGTCAACAGACAAAAGGTGCCATTAAAAATCCTAAGATTTTTTCAGGGGGAATTTGCAGGACGCAGGAACCAGAAAGAGGAACAAACTCAGCCTCCAGGACACACAGACAAAGAGATAGAGAGCGAGAGAACAGAACGAAACGGAAGGACGGGGTTGGCGTATGGAAAAGCTTATTGCACTCATGGTATACAGTTCAGAATAAAAATAACAACAACAGAATGAGGGAGATTGTTGCGTCTGTGTGTGCTTTGAGGGTGTAGGTGGTGTGTAGTTACGAAAAGAAAGTAGTTCAGAAGAAAGGAGGAAAAAAGCCAAGATCGATTTATGCCTTATTTTGTGGATCGGTGGTAGGCATGTATAGGGATGCCACACAAGACTTAAGTACCATTTAAACAACCATTACGGACCACTCCTAAGCGGCGTTTGTTTGAAGCAATCACGAGGGAAAGTAGTAGAACCTGGAACAATTATTGATTGGGCAGCGGGAAAACCATCAAGAGTCACCTACTTTATAGAAACGCGCAGCAAGCTGAAGCAGGGGAAAATAACTGGGAAAAACCGCGGGACCCCGCGTGTAAGCAGGCAGAGAGGTTAAATAACTGTTAGCGTGTGTGCGCGCCTAACAGGATACTGCAACCGAAGGCGCACAAACTCCAAACCATGTATATATCCACGCTAACGGTGGCCGACGGCGTAATAGGGTTTACAACCGAACAATCGTTCAATCTTTTACAGTAAGGAAGCTTGCGCAGGGAGCAGGGCACAGAAAACGCACACTAAGCAGCTCTTGCGAGCTTTGAAGAGCCGCTGGCGGGGGGTACCACGCAACCGTTGGCCGAAAAGAGAGAGGGCGATGACCGCGCTTGTTAGACGGAGACTTTTATCATGTAGGTGCCTAAGAGGACACAGGAGGGGGTGGCGTCACTACAAGGTGCAATTCGGAGCGCTGGGTGCCGTGAAATGCTCGTGCGCAAAGTGGAGAGAAGGCTAGACGCACACCCTCCGCGTAGGAGGTAGGGAGAACACAAAGGCGAACAAATAGCGTATGAAGGTCATTCGCCAAGGCAAGTATAAGGGTCGGGTGTGGGTGCACGCACATCTCGAGGTCCGAATCCGCTCATACACACACGAATACATACATATGTGTGTAGGATTGTCTATGCGAGGACTATAGGCGAAGCACGAGAAAAAATAGATAGGAAGAAAACGAAGCAATAAATTACGCAATCCATGAAAGTGGGGGGCGAAAGCAAGGGAATAATGCGAAGTAACCGCCGTCCGCGTTCGATTGCTGGCGCCGTCGTAGCAGTGCAGGATGACGCAATTCACTTCACGAAGTAGCAAAAGCCTGGTAGATGCAGCTAAGGGCTGGTTTTTTCTTTCTAGTTATGGCCCCGTACCCGGGCGGGATGTCTCGGCTGCGATAACTGGCTTGCCCTTGAACAGTGAAGTGAATCGATCCGCAGACAGTACGCGTAAGGGCACAGGTGGGTCTCGCGTCAAGGATGGACACGCGCATTCGGAGAGATAGAAGTACACGAGAAAGCTAAACACGAAAGAGCATGAAGCCAGGAAACAGGGGAAGTCAAGTGTACAAAATCTGCACGGAAATGCACGGTTTTTGGTGAATCACACCGCCACCATTAAACGGAGGCAGAAGGGGAGTCGAACAGACAACGAAGGGCGCTCTATCTCGCGCATGTGTAAGCGCTCACACGCATACACAGAGGTAGAGAGAGCGAGAGACGGTTAAAGTAGTCCACATAGATCGCCAAAAACCGGGAAATAGATGGGCGACGTCTCAATAGGCTTAAAGTTGCGCTGGGCAGGTGGGCGACAGAGAAACGCAAACCTTGCTGGTAGAGTTGACACAAGAGGGACGGGGGGGGTGGGGACAGGGGACAGAAAAATGCGTGAAACACGCGGCGGTCGCGGTAGCAGCAACAAAACGCAGCTGCACACGTTATCGCTTACACGGAGAAATAGGGGGTTACTTCAGAAGGAACGGCGTGGACTTGTGGATTCAATCCGCAGAAGTAGAAAAGATGAAGAGAGGAGAAAAGGGTTGAGGTCATCACATTTGCGCGTACATGCGAGAAAGGGCGCGCAGGCGCGCAACCACCCACAGGGAGAGGAACTCGGGCAACAAATGGACTGTGAGCGATTGGAGACCCGCAGATAGTCGAGGCCAGTGTGTGTGTGTGTGGGGCGATTCTGAATACATTTGCGCGCGCGAAGGTTGTTAGTTCCAGATTCGCAAAAAGCTGTCCCATGAACCCGTGCACACAGCCATTCCGTCCTCTGTAACGCCCAGACAACTGACACGATTGTCGTGGCCGGCCAAAACACCTGAAAGAAAGTAAACAGGAATTATTTATTCATGCGTTTTGACCCAGAGTCCTGCATATCGGGGTAATAAAAAGCCCTGTCAAGATACACCAATGCAGGTTCATGTACCTAAAACAGAAACTTAGAAATACAGACGTTACCAATAGCACCGGACTTTGAACGATCACACTTCGGTTCCAAGCAAAATTGTCAGATATTGAAGACTAAAAAATTAGACCTTCTAAGGGCTGTATCGAGCACCACGAATACTAGGCCGAGTAGTTTCAAAGAAGAACTTCCATTTTACCGAACCCAGATAAACGAATATGCTCAACATCACTCCGCAAAAAAAGACTACAGTGGATTTTGAGGCCAGTCAACGTATGAAATGTAGACACAATAAAAGCATTTGTTTGGGAATGGCAAAGGTTAGCTTCAACGACTGACATAAACCACTTATTCGATGGAAATCCAACAGTTCGACCGTCGTAACCGATGATGCCTACGGTGTCCCACGGCGAGGCAGG